GGATGCGTGATAAATCAAAGCATGCTTGCAGAAAACACAGAGGTTATCAGCATAACATGTGCAAACGACCTCCTAATTGGTTGCTAGCTCGTCCATTATCGGAGGTCAACGGGCAAAGAAAGGGGTCCCATTTTGCGCCTTCTTGACGGATTTCTTTGCTTTTTTCGCCACTGGGGCATTATTCAGCATCTCCACTTCCACTATGAACCCAGTCCAAACTTATCGTAATCCCTCGCTTTAAGCATGTTTCCACCGCTCCTTCCCTGCTCCCCCCTACCCCCTCCCTCCGCACTGCATGAGGGCGGCTTTGGAGGGAAAGGGATGCGGGCGAGCTGAAGTGTGCTGTTTCTCAGAATCAAGTACTATTGTCCCCACGTGATGAGGGTGATAGGAAAGGAAGGGCAGGAAACGCTCAAGGCGGTGATGAAGGGTCGTAGCAAGCTTCTACACAAGTACTAGCTAGTGTTCTACACAAGTTCTCATAGACGTTGCCTTCAACCTCACGCAAGTTACATATAGCGGGTGCGACTTTACTTCTAGTGCGCAAATTTGCTGTCGAAAATCTAAGCAAGGAAATCAGCGCAGTTCATGATAAGCAAGCTGTAACAAACTGCTGTGGCGCTTACTGTAAAGCAACCAAACACCAACTTACTGACGCACCTCCATTTTTAACTTGGAATGCCGCCGTGTTTCGATTTTCTTCTCCACTTTCATTGCATACTCTTTTTTAGGATCCTTCTCATCATGCACTCTAGATAATAAATGGACAAACAACTACGATGTTTTATGCTTTATGCTAAAAGTATGAAACTGTAAGCAGAAATAATGCTGTGTGCGGGCCATGTACATCGACACGTATCTATACTTGTCAGCGCAATCGCCTACTCTACGTCAAGCCGTCAATACATATGTTTTTCATTGTCGCGTCTTATCCTCGCAAACTATGAACGCGGCCTTTTGTTTTCCATCCCGCTTCACTGGCTAGCGTGCTTTGAGATGAGCGAAAGTTTCACATGATTCAGTAGCTGTTTTTCGAATAAGAGCACTGATAGTGGGCACAATATTAACAACCTTATTTCAAAGTAAATACTGATGGAGCGTTCATAGTTGGCGATTAGGCGATTAGGCGATTAGTCTAAATGAAAAATATACGTATAGATTAGGCGAGTAGGCGAGTAGGCGAGTAGGCGATCAGGCGAGTAGGCGATTAGGCGGTGAAGACTACATACGTATCGACTTGTATGTTCCGCCCTGAGGGCGTTGTAGGCGAGTAGGCGAGTAGGCGAGTAGGCGATTAGGCGATTAGGCGATTTGCACACGGCGCACTCCTTAGTCGTCAAAATTGAGGCGCACATGCATATTAGCTTCTCACCCATACACTAGACTACTAGTTGGTAAAAGCAGATCTTGTCAAAGTGTTGCATACAATCCAGATATCACCTAATCGCCTACTCGCCTAATCGCCTACTCGCCTACTCGCCTAATCGCCTAATCGATCCGTATACTTTTCATTTTGAATCATCGCCTACTCGCCTAATCGCCTAATCGCACGTACGATCGCCAACTATGAACGCTCCATGAGCATCCGTGAAGTTCCATGTTCATTTTCATGGGTCTGCGCTACCCTGCAGGTATAGCTGCAAAGGGAAAATGGAAGGAGTTGTTAGTCTTCGTAGACCTCGTAGATTAGCGTCAAACTTCGTCGTGTCGAAAGTAGCTCTTCCGCAATCATAGTTTGAAGAGTACGACAACCCAAGGAGAGATCTTTTCTATGCAATGTCTGGAGACATAAGTCTCTTAGCCTGACCGTAACTACAACATCTTTCTACGCTGCGAACTTAGTTGCGAAGAACGCCTTGGTTTTGTTTGTCTCGGTTAGCGCTTACGTACAGTACGTCGATAACTTTTATGTGAACGGAGTCCCACCCTCTAGGGTCAGTTCAAATTGAGGGTTAGCTGGTTTGGTACCTGGTAAGCAAAGGTCAAACTTCCTAGCCCTGCACCCTGCAACTGTAAGTTGAAGCAATCTCGGTCATAAAGGAGAGTCTTATCTTATTTGGAATGGATACCCTCTGACACTCACTTGTACACGGCTCCGAAACCGCCTTCACCGAGTAATTTGTCGACGACATAGTTAGCTTTGCTGGAGTCGATCACTGTACCCTAAAGGTCTGCATTCATAAGAAGATACAGTGCAAAGCAGGTGAAGACGAACCGGTTTGATTCCAACATCATCCTCTTCGTCGTCACTCATTGGTAAAACTGATCCAACTACAAATGCTTACCACACTCAGTCATCTCCTTTTATTTCAAGATAACAGTATCACACGAAGACTGATATGCCTTAATCCTTTCAATTTTACATTGACTTCATTTTTCGCTGCTTTCATGACCTGAGAACATCCAAATAGGGCATTCAAAAATCGCTGGTGGGTGATATTTAGACCAAGCCCAAGAAAAGGGAGGAAAATGTCAGGAGAAAAAAATGTTGCCCACGTCCTTTCCCACAATGCCTCGCGCTCCTTAAAGCAACAGTCCACGCAGGGTGGGCGTGGTTGGAGACGACGGCAATCCCCTCGGCCGATTACGACTTAGCTTACTTTAGCTCCCTTCCTAGCGGTTTCCAAGTTGTGTTTTTGTTCACTAACACTTCTTATGTTCATGGCTGGGGCTGTATAGCTCCAAAAAGGAAATCGGCCGAGGGGATTGCCGTCGTCTCCAACCACGCCCACCCTGCCTGGACTGTTGCTTTAAAGCAACAGTCCAGGCAGGGTTTCAACCATTTGGTTTTCAAGTGGTGGAAACATGCCTCAGCCTGATTGGAGTTCATGGGAAATGTCACAAACTTCAAAACTTACCTCTGAAAGGCGTTGGAAGCAGTCGAAATCCTTCAAGAGGGGCGGATCCACCGATCCGTGGTGGGGCCGCCTCCAAGCAGCTGTGCAGAGCGCTTGCTCGACTAGCGGTCGTTGCGGGACCGCCGCGCTGTATGAGGTCGATTCCATAAGAACGCAATTGAAGCGCTTCAATTTCGATTGCTGGCAAATAGTTATGTATTTGCAAGCATGCATGGCTATTTGCCAGCAGTTGCAATTGGAGCGCATGTACTACGGGCAGGTTCGGACAACTCGTCCAACACACGTCTCCCTAAACGGCAGGGGGAGTCCCTGTCTAAGCCCCTGCCCGACGTTTTTTCTACTTTTTCTTTCTCCATTGACCAACTTCTCACCTGCAACGTCATTATAGGTGGTCCTTACCCGCGAATTCGTTCCTGGATTGTTGCTTTAAGGCGTACTTTTGTCCCAAGTTCTGTAAGAGGCTCACTCACTCCGATGTCTCCCTTGACGACATGTGCACCCATTTCCCTTGAGTTTGCACCGTAGCTGATTCGTCCGCGTGGCCTCGGGACACATTCGGGCAGCTCTCTATTGGTTGTGACGTGTGCTGACATTTATATAGTGAAATGTTCAATCTGGCACATGTTTATTAATTTATTACTTCGATCAAAATTAGCAAGACTCGTTAGGTACGTTATAGGTGGGTAGGGCATGGCAAGCAAGCATTTTTCTTAGACTGGCTTCAGAGGCACCCGCTGCAATTGGGTCGTAGGACCAATAGTTCCTTCGGCTAACGTTGCTGGGCACACCACCTCGGAGGTACGATCGCTCCCACGATTCAGGTAGAATTGTTGGAAAGGGCATGAAGAGGTCAGAATTTCAATGATAGCGAGTCATTGCATGTAGACCGTTGCGGTACCTTTGTCTGGCTCCCATAAGGCTCATTGATTTTCCTCGTCATTCCTTGCCTCTGTGTCCAGTCTCTTTAACAGTGTTTGTGTGGAAAGACAATGATCAGAAAAACGAAGATTCTTATTTAGAGTGCTTGCAATGACATTTTTCTGAGGCGAGTTAATTAGCACCTACTGATTCATGCTTGAAGGCAAACTTCGGGATAAACTAGTGTATAAGGGCGCATATTGTGATGACTGAGCTGCGGAAGGAACTGAAAGTGGAAAGGAAAGCAAGAGAAATCATTGGGAACGCTGAAATTAAGGCCTTAACCTTCAGTAGGTCGGATGTGGTACGATGGCGAGAAGGGCGGTCAAAGAAGACAAACGCATGAGAGTGCGTACCGTTCCGAGAGAGCACCATGATCTCCATATCGATGCAGTGAGCAGGAAGCTGGTGTGGGAAGCGTCGCAACGAGGGTTTGCAGCTTCGTACTGGATTGGCGCCTTAATCGCACAAATTGGGCAACGAGCTGGCATGATCTATATAGGTACGAACCCCATAATTTCCCTCGCAGTATCGGTCCTGCTAGTCGGGCTAATCTCGTGGTTTGCCTTTAAATTCCCTGTCCCATCGCTACAATATTGCTATCACTCTCGAACTGGGGGTGTGCACCAGAACATTACAGGTGTGTTCTTTGGACGAACAATAAGAAGGAAACAGAAACGGACGTCGAGAACCCACACTAGAATATTTTACCATGACTATTCGACAACCGCTGCCCCTTTAGGCCCTATCACTAGTCGTTTCTACTCCCGCTATTCCGAAAGGAAAGGCCGATTTAGGCAAAAGTTACCTTTGACTATCATTTTGGCTTCGATGGAAATTGTGTCGTCACATCCATTTTCGTTTCCGAACCTAAGACCCTTCATCTAGGCAGCGGCAGAAAGCGTCTGCAAGTATAACTGCAGGTGAAGAGGCAAAAAACCTCTTGATTATGGCTACATCAGCAAAATTTGCGTCGCACATGTCACCACTATCTATGGAGGTTTTACGACAGAGTAATCCTAAACTGTCTCGGTCTTCAAAATTAGAAGCAGCCCTTGTTCAGAGCTCTCTGTGTCCTCAAAATATAAAGTTATCTCAGCCACCGTTTGCTGGGGGGCCTTCAAAGTCTAATCTTGCACCATTTTTCCGAGGTTAGTTCTTGTCATGCCGCCCGTGTAGAAGGCTATTACATAGTTGTTCAATAGATTCTGATGTGCTCAAGTCTTCAGTTGGAGCCGTAGGGTTCGATTCAAAAGCTAAACCAGGGAAGAAGTGTAAAGCATTCCCACCGCTCCGTATGTAGGTCCTCCAGTGGGCAATCACAGATGGAGCACTCGCTTGCATTGAAATCGCCCAACAAGGGCGTAAGGGTCTGCAAAGCTAGCTGCAGCAGCCGCAATGTTCTCCACCTCCTTCAAGCAATAATCATCAACTCAGCTACAAAGTTTCCTTAATCATGGTCACATATGCTGCTGCTCACCAAGCACCCCTTAATGAGGATAGCCTTCATCGTGTGTAGCCATGAGCTGTTGACGTCCACAATAGCTAGAATTTAGCTGTAGCTGGGGAACGCTTACACCACGAATAGAAAATTTAGGCAGTGTCAGGTGCCCACCCTCACGTCCATAGCGAGCTCAGCCTTCAAACTGTTCCATACACTTGCTTCTTCGATCCATCGTCTGCTGTGAAATACGTGAAAAGATCGGACTGAAAGAATAAAGTGGTAACTGTTTGCACCTCCGCGGGTACTTGGCTCGCTCTGTTCCCCATAAGAAAGCAAACACAGAAAGCACTGTGACAGCAATTGTGTTGTCATCAGTGTCAACAGTGAGTAACTGGATGTTCGGCAACAGTAAAGCTTCGATGATGTCACTCGTACTTCTCGATTCTCCTCCAACAAACCACATGAGAAATCGGCTTGAGTTAGGCCTCAAATGCGGAACTGACATTCGCTTCAATAAAAGTTTAGCGTGTGTATTGGAAAAACCATCCGACCTGACCACCGTCTCTTCTGGCAAGAGCGCCAATTGTCTTCGATCTATTCCATTTTCCCCTTGTTACAGCCCGTCAGAGATCGAGGCAGAACATAATGAAAATGGCTCATCTGTTATGTCTGATGTTAGTCTGGATGTTTTGTTATAAATATATTTACAGCATTTATGCAAACAGCATGGGCGGAAGTGGTGTAGTGGCAAGTGGCACGCTTACCACGCGAGCGGTCCGGGGATCAAATCCTGGGTCGTGAGTCGCCCGGGCCAACCAAGCCTTCCATCCCTCCGGGGTCGGTTAATTGGTACCAGACTTGTCTGGGAGGATAAAAACACTGACTTGTACATCGGCTGGCCCCGCAAGTCATTGTATAGGCCACATCGCATTCAAACGCCACTACGAATGTACAAATGGAAGTAGAATGCGTGCCGCATCCCAAAAAGGGATTGATCAACGGCAAATGCTTTATCCTTTACCAGTTTAGCTCCGCACACTACCGCGTGCATGACACGGAAGGGCTCCGTAAAGCTGGCCAGCCGGCGGAGCGTTAGGTTCCGCCGCTAAACAACAACTTACTTTGTGAAATGCGTTATGGAGCGTTCATAGTTGGCGATCGTGCGTGCGATTAGGCGATTAGGCGAGTAGGCGATGATTCAAAATGAAAAGTATGCGGATCGATTAGGCGATTAGGCGAGTAGGCGAGTAGGCGAGTAGGCGAGTAGCGAGGAGGCGAGTAGGCGAGTAGGCGAGTAGGCGCGATAGGCGAGTAGGCGATTAGGCGAGTAGGCGATTAGGTGATATCTGGATTGTATGCAACACTTTGACAAGATCTGCTTTTACCAACTAGTAGTCTAGTGTATGGGTGAGAAGCTAATATGCATGTGCGCCTCAATTTTGACGACTAAAGAGTGCGCCGTGTGCAAATCGCCGCCTCGCCTCGCCCTCGCCTATCGCCTACTCGCCTACTCGCCTACTCGCCTACTCGCCTACAACGCCCTCAGGGCGGAGCATACAAGTCGATACGTATGTAGTCTTCACCGCCTAATCGCCTGATCGCCTACTCGCCTACTCGCCTACTCGCCTAATCTATACGTATATTTTTCATTTAGACTAATCGCCTAATCGCCTAATCGCCAACTATGAACGCTCCATTAGCTGGATTTCCATAGAATGTCCACTTTTAAGCCAAGCGTCTGATACGCGCGGTGGAGTGCGGAGCTAAAGTGGTGTCTGTAAACAGCCACCATGCATTGGATGTCAGGATGATTTAGCGGTCGAATAATATTGATGCCAATGATTTTGCAATAGAAATACCCATTATCGTATATCGCTAAACATCCATCATACATTCTTAGGGACTTTGGGAACTGTAGCGGTCGAACGGTATTTTATGTTGATGACAACAACGCAATGAGATGATACTGAAGTGAAATGCGTTATCTAGAATATGGTTTTAAATGGTCTCTATGTTCCGAATATCGTAATTATC